GCGTCTTGGACTCTTGAGTTCGCTCCGCAATTTGAGTTACTTGAGGTTGAACGGTGAAGTCCAGGCAGGAAAAATCCAGACTGCAGAGTGACCAGGGGTGCTGGGATCTTGTTCAGTTGCTCGAAGGTGAAGAGAGTCTAGCAATTTTTCAGTAATCTGTCCAGTATTCACGTTTGCAATGGCTTAAGAAACCTGGGAAGGCATTTTTTAATATATGAGCTTGTGATGTCAATTACAGAAAGTCGTGATACCGATACCAAACCAAATACCAACAGGAACCGTGGGAAAATACCGAAACCGAACCGACTTGGGAATATCAGGGAAATGCCAACTTTTTACCAAAGTCACAGTCTCTTTTACAGTAGCAAGGATTTACAATACCAACAAAATACCAAATGTGTTAGCCTCGAAACGCCAAATACCAAGTTGGTATCGGTTTTGTATCGGTATGCCAAAAAGTTCGTATTTTATTGACATCTCTAATATGGACACTCCTCCACAAGAAGAAACTGAACTGGAAACAGTATCGTCCGATCCTAATGACCGTCATCTCCCCTGACAGCATGGTGTCGAGGCTGGAAGCGTTCACCTTTTGGCTCACGGCTCAGTGAAGCGGAAGAATGGTTCGAAAGGGTGATATTGAGTGACGAAAAGTGGCTCGCGCTACAGCAAGCACCCGCAAGAATAATACAGGCTCCTTCGCCGAAGAATCCACAAAAGTTGATTCCATACAAGGATGTGCACGGAGCGAAGTTCTTGGCCGAGGTCTGCCGCACGGAGAAGCAAGTTTTCTTCGAGCGACACAACTGATTTCTGTTTGTGCTATGTAAAATGTCTAAGATTTATCATTCCAACGGTGACCTGTTTATGCAATATGTCTTACGCCTCTGGCGGGGCTAACTTTATGTCATCTTTTATTGATGACCCTGTAATTTAGAGGATAGCGCGTGGATGTTTAAATGCGGTTATCCCGCACCGTAGACAGTGTTTACAATTTCTTCACGTGCTAAGAAAGAAAATTATCAGATGTCGTGTAACTGATTTTTTAAACGTCTAGACGATTAACAAACTGTTAAACGTCTAGTAGACATTTCGTCTAGTCTGAAATATGTCGCATTCTTATATAAAATGTATTTTTTATCATTAAGCGCCCAAAAGATATCGGCGGTACGGGATAAAATTATTCAACCGCTCGTAGGTAGAAAAATATTTTAAACGTCTCGCCTAACCGCTCGACGTTTAAAATATTTGTTCAACCTACTCGCGGTTTAATATATAACCACCTTGTATTTGAGTTGCAACGGTAGTTAATTTATGTTAAACCGCGAGTAGGTAGGACAAATTTTTGAAACGTCGAGTCGATAGGCGAGACGTTTAAAATATTTGTCTACCTACGAGTGGTTTAATAATTTTATCCCGTACCGCTGGCATCTTTCGGTCACTTAAGTTAAAAAATACATTTAATGTAAAAATACGGCATATTTCAGACTAGACAAACGTCTAGACGTTTAACAAATCAGGTAAACGACATCTGGCAATTTTTTCTCTTTGCACGTGAAGCAATTGTAAACACTGTCTACGGTGCGGAATAATGACAAAAAAAAACTCCAATATCTACGTAACGTCGCTTATGACGTTGCACATGGTTCACAACGCAAAAGTTGAGCATCGATCTTGCAAGTAGTGAAGCGACACGAGCACGACTCCATGTGCAAACGATAGTCGTAAATCTTTTTTTTGTCATCAACATAAATTTTGATATTTCCCTTGTTGAATTATGATGGTGAGGGAGGTCACGTCATTGACCTAGCTTTACGTGAACTTCTAGAAATTACGAGACATAAAAGTTGCAAGGTCTCGGAAGAATATGAAGTCCTGTTTGCAGAAGTTGACCTAGCAATGGCGGAGTTGCCAAGCCGCAATATTTTGGGACCGAGTGAAGTCTTGTATGACGTCATAGGTCAGTGACTCGACAAGAATTGAAAATGTAATTGGTCGTTGGTGTCACCAGAGAATGGGCTTGAATCAAGTCAGGTGTGCTATTTTTCAGCTTTCAGGTTTCCTTGTTGAGAGCAATCGCAAGAAGTCTGGGGTAGGTAACACCCGTCACCCTCATCTATGGAAAGTTATGCTTTTGCGGAGCGACCTTCAAAGCTAGTGCGCCCCATGCACTGTCGTGTTTTCAGCTTGCTGTCGGTTTTCCAATATATGGAAGCCAGTTACAGGCGTCTCTTAGTCTCTCATTGGTCAATCGCACACACCACGTGTGGTTCATCAACGACCAATGAGAAGATGAGAAACGCCAGCAAACTGACAGCATGCTGATTTGGTGATCAAACAGCGCCCTGACCACACCCCTCCCATCTATCGCTGACACCCTGCTCGGTAACTCGTCTCGAGACGCGACTGAGCCAGACCCTTCGGCCGGTTACCGCCGCCGGCATAATTCCGCCTGATTCCGACTGCACCGCGGGACACCACACTGCGGCGAGCGACCCCGCTGTCAAACTCGGGCCGAATGCACCCCCTCCCCTACCCCCACTCCAGCTGTGGCGAGGGTGAGGGTATTCACCGCATCAAACCTCCAGGCCGCCTGGACCCTTATCTTGAGACCAATAGTACAGCCTCGGCCCCGACGACCCCGCTAATGGCCGAGACCGGCATACCCCCGGCATGGGTCCGCTGTCCGGCGCAGCGCTGGCCGCCCGCATGCTATGCTACTTTTGGCTGTATCGCTGCCCAGCGGGAGCGCGCTCCACGCTGCGGAAGAGGTACACGTTGCGACCCGACTGAGGACTGCAACCGGATGGTGACACGTCGGCCTCTGCGCCCTGGCCGGGGCAGGCGTGACCGACGTCACAGTGGAGGAACGCCCAAACAAGACCAGCCCACCGTCGGAGCAGCATGGAAATATCATGTTCTGCCTGGACGTCGGACCCGGCGGCCGCAGTGCACCTGCACACGTGCGGAGAGGGGCGCTGGAGGCTACTCTGGAGCTTCTGCCATTCCGCGGCGCGACTGCTGGCAAAACGGCGGCGATTGAGGCGGTTGGGAACAGCTGCAGCAATGGTGATGGCGGTGATGGCGACATGGCGGTTTGGGACTTCATCTCAGCGCGGCCGCCGCCCAGGCGCCGCTGCGCCCGGCTGCTCAGCCACCTACCGGATGGCGGGGTGGCCCTTACGGCCCTCACGCCCGTTCGGTCTGCGGCCACGTTGTGGGGTGGCGGTCGCGGGGTTAGCGGCGTTGGACTTCGTCCTTTATCCAGACTGCACCGTACCATCTGAACGGATGGATCTGCCAAGAAAGATGACATCCAAGGCGGCTATGAGGCGATCACAAAGCTTCACCAAGAGCTTCTCCTTCATGGGGCCGGCCGGCCGTTAAGTCGCAACACCGGCTGCCGAGTGCCAACAGCTGCGTGCGCTGGCGCCGACGCGTTGTGGGCCGCGCTGCTGACGCCCAAGCTGCGATATCAACCATCTATGAATAAGTGGCAGCGGTGGCGGCTTGTCAGTTGTTAACGTGCCTTAACAGACGTTGCGAATAGCCCGCGTTGGAATCGCATGGTTGGGAACACAACGCAAGTAAAAATGGGCTTCCTTGATGAACCTACTTTTTAAGCATTGTAGCCTTTGTAATTTTGGATGTTTTGCTGTAGATATTATTTTCTACATATATACTATATAGGCACTCACGTGCTTTAAATCGCGCAATGCAATTGAACCATGGTAAAGACAATAATAAATGAACTGAGAGCTGACATGCCCCATGCTTTGTGTGTGTATGTGTGTGTGTGTGTGTTTTTTTTTTGCGAGTCGATAAAAGTGGTTTTGGACACTGGATGAGTTTTTAGGGGTGTGGTGAGGGGGGATGTAATTCCACAGACATTCTGTCAGATTCACTAATGCAGTAGGTCTGTGCGGTGTTTATAGTTATCGGAGCATTCTTTGAAAGTCGTGAATAGGGCCACCGAGTACCTAAAGCCGTGATATTCCCCCACAAAAACTTCTTTTAAATAACCGGGGATAGGTACATGAGCAGAGTAAATGCTATTACGAACGCCTATCACAATGCTGAGCGAATAGGAAAATCCATAGATGGAGAATTGTGCCGCGTTACGGGTGCTCGGGCGCACCCAATCCACCGTTACCCCAGCGGTGACCTTGACCCGCATCGTCTGTCTCGGCTCCAAAGCCAAACCGGCGTGGAATTGGGAGCGTTCGAGCACTCATGGTCCAGCGCAATTCTCCACCTAAATCCATTCCTGATACACATTTGCTTGCTCATAGTCATGTAACCCCGGTAAATTCACCCAACTTTCATATTGGTCGCTCCATAGACAGATGGTCACAGAGATCAACTTAAAAGGCCATTGTTGCATTCATTTAGTGGAGATCATTATTAAAGAGCCGTGACAGGCCACAAGTCGCGTGACATCATACGTGTAACGACCAATGACGACGGCCTGCAAAACCCAATGGAAGCGGCTAGCAGCGTGCAATAAAACAGGGCGCTGCTTTCTAAATGTCTGTCGTGCGCCATAAATGAATATATTCTTTGTAGCCTGGCAACTCAGTATCTTTTTTTAACTATTGTACTAGTATTTAATAATTTCATAATTTTATAATTGTACTTACGCTTTATGTTGATATTAGTGATAAATCCTTAGATAAAGTAAATCGATGTGATATTTAATAGAAAAATAGCAAACTAACGCACCATTCATTCGAAAGCTGGGGAACCTACTAAAAAGAACTACTAAAATTCCTGAGGAACTTTAGGATCAAATGGGGATTAAATAGATGCCTGCTATTCCGTCGTGAAAACGGCCAATAGGTACCATTTTCATGGAAATTGGCTACGATAGTCGATAGCTAATTTGCAAAATAGAGATGATGCATATTGCATAATGCATCGTCATATTAAATACCAAGAATCCCTATAATGCATGCTAGTTATGGACTGTCAAACGTTCATAAATGACTCCAAGGACTTACCTCAAAGTTGATTTGGCCGCATTGATTTGGCTTCAAAGTGTTGAAAACATAGTGAGCGTACTGGTTGGCATCTGAAATGAGATTTTCGCTTAGAGGGTATCTCTCTCTCTCTCTCTCTCTCTCTCTCTCTCTCTCTCTCTCTCTCTCTCTCTCTCTCTCTCTCTCTCTCTCTCTCTCTCTCTCCGTCTCTCTCATCTCATCTCAACAAGAGACAATAGGTACATAGGTACTTCAAACAGAAGTCACATTGATAGCGTACCATGCAAGTCGTAAAGTAGCGCTGAACTGAAATGCTTATGGTGATATGAAATATGAATTGACGTGAGCTGGTCTTGAGAGGGAATTTGGTAAAGCTTGGTGATCAATGGGATGATTGGTTAGTCTGAACGGCCTTTTGGGGGCGTGTGGTTGATCTGAGTTGTCTATCGACTATCTGAGTGCCCATTTAAAGTGCTAAAAGACCAATGTCGAAAGTCACACCTTTAGCTGATACGACAGTTTTCTTCTTCAACTAAATCCAAAGCACTGTGTTTGACGTTTGTATGTTTGGACACATCCCGCGGATGCATTATTGTATGGGTGCAGTGTGCATTGGTGCGGCGAAGTCCGGCCCCACGTGACCGTCCGTCACGGCGCTGCTGACGGAGGCCGCTCCACTCTCCACCCCTTCCCTTCTCCGACCAATGGCCATTACACTACGTGCCCGCTCACGGATATTGCGCAGGAACATGCTACTCTGTGTATTTCCCACCGATCGATGGGCTCAGAGGCTGCAAGCTGGGTTGAAGCAATGTAAAACCTGGGACAGCATTTGCCATTGGCGCGTAATGTCTCGATTTTTGTTGTTGCTGTTGTTGCTGTTAGATTGCAGCTCCGATCTTCAACGAGTATGTTTTTAAGGACGATGCTATTTACATATACACCATGCGTATAGACCCCTGGTAGATATTTATCGTCTTTTTGACTCTGGCGCCACAGCAAATTAATATTTTTCATTTCAATGTGGTTATTTTCTCTCAAAACAAGGGCCATACTTTCTCCCTTCAGTGGCCATACTCAAGCTGAGTCGTCTGACCTGAGGCACAGCCCTGTGTCCCAGGTCACCATCTCGTGATACGAGAGTGTGGTAAAATATACGGCTGTCATAAACACAACGGCTCTTGCGAATAAAACGAGCCAAACACAATTTAGCCACTTCTTCGCGTGTCTGTGCGAGAGATCACGACCATATTCATATCATACCCACCCGTTTGGTCAAGTTTACGGGGACAAAATGAAAACATTCTCGCAGACAAAGGGAGTCGTATTGAATGCAATAACTCACCTCCCTGTGGAAAGTATTGCGCAAAGATGAGCTTGAAGGCAGCCTCGTCCACCAATCCCGAAGGACACTCCTGAAACAAAGCGAAAAATAAAATGGGTGACAAAATTGATTATGCTTTCTTCTTCTTTCTTTTCTTTTCAGTCTCACTCTCTCTCTCTCCTCTCTCCTCTCTCTCCCCTCCCCTCCCTCTCTCTCTCTCTCCCTCCCCCCCTCTCTCTCTCTCTCTCTTTCTCTTCCTTTCTCTCTCTCTCTCTCTCTCTCTCTCTCTCTCTCTCTCTCTTTCTCCCTCTCTTCGTCTCTTTATCTCTCTTTTCTCCCACTCCCCCTTTTTCTCTCTTATTCTTATTCATTCTCTCTCCCTCTCGTGTGAGGTACCTGTTTGAAGCCGCGATACATGAGCTGGATTTCCTTTCGCGTGAAGCGAGAGCTCCTGGCCAGCTTGTTGAGCTCCTCGGGCCGGTACCTGGCGGCCAACAGTCGTACCTCCTCCATGGCCGTGGCTGCTGCAGGCACACAGCGCAGCGCATATCAGAATTGGCAGCTGTCTTTAACCCGCCAAGCACATAATGGAATGATCAACATAGCACTCAGCGTAGCACAACACACAGCAACTGACCAACTAGCACAGCACAGCACACAGGAGCCGTCTTACCAGCACAACACACAGCAATAGACTGACCAGTGACCAGCACAGCACGCAACCATCGACTGACCAGCACAGCACAACATACAGTACACAGTCGGTTGATAAGGACAGCGGTCAGCACAATACGGCACAGCACAAACTAAGCATCCGTCCCACCAGCAAATCATAGCAAAGCGTCAACATCACGCTCCACTAATTGACATACCCATTAATTAGTGAACTCATCAATGTTAATTTATTTACGACCATATGGAGGCCAATCGACAGCACGAGTGTCCAATGAACAGCATTCCTGTCGCCTGGAACTATTTCCAAGTGTAAATAGCTCGACGTGCGGACGAGCGAATAGCCAGGGATTCCGACTTTTGTGACGCTGGGGCATGTGACGTCCTTCAGCCAAGTAAGTGGGGAGACAAGCGGCAAGCAGTTTCCCATTTTGCAATCAGAGAACTGAGAAAAGCAAATCGCTCAGTCTGATCTACGGAGAAGATAATGCATAGCTTTCCCACAAATTAGTTTCAAAATTGATGAGCTCCCTCAAATGAGAACAACCGTGAATGACACTGTAAGGGATGGTCATTTCCCTGTTATTGCTGCCATGGATAAAAGTTAAAATTAACTTCCTGCTCCCGGAATTATGCGGAATGCCCTTTCATAAATTGATCAGTGATGGGAAGCGAAAAATCTTTTAGCCGTTTTAGTTAGGGAGCCGAGCTCCTGTGCATGGGCTCGTCTGCATGCCTTATATTAACGGCACTTTTTTATTCCGCTCACCTGAATTGACGGGAGCATTTGAATTGAGCTCTTCAGCTCTTTTAATACACAATTGTGCTCCTTTTTCGCACAAAGCCGTATGGAGTTCCCCTGAACCTAAATATTGACCAAAGGCTGAAGGTCAAGTGAAATCAAACTTCAAAGGTAGGCTAGTCGGCGCGCTGGAATAGCTTGGGTAGCCAGTCATAGCGGGGATGACAAATTTTAGGGAATCCATTCAAGAAAACCAACAATAGCATAGCAGAATTCTAGACAACAGCATAAGGGTCGACTCCCATGGACCACTCCATCTAATGCCAGCAAACGACCCAACTTCTCATCAACAGCTAATCTCTTCTGTTGTCTAAGGCAGGACCTCCTGTTGAAGAACAGTAAGTTGTCAAGTTGGCTACAGGACCTCCTGGTACCCATGCAGCATGACCTTCTGTTGTCTATAGTAAAGCCTCCTGTTGGTTACATTACAACAGGACCTCCTGTTGCCTACAGTAAACCATCCTGTTGGTTACCATAGGACCTTCTAGTAGTAACCACAGCAGGACCTCCTGTCAGCCACATTGTAGGACCTCCTGCGGTGCGCTCCTGTCGCCCACAGCAGGACGCTGCCTGCCGCCGTCACTGACCTGTGTACTGCTGGGCCGGCGCCGCCGCCAGCCGCTCTCGGATCCAGCCGATCGGTCCCGTCGTGTGCTCGGCTCGCGCGGGCCCGCGCTACTGCTCGGCCTGGCTCGCAGCAACAGTGTGCCGGTATCGATCAGTGAAGTCGGCCGTCGACTGCCGCCGCTGCTACCGGCCCACACCGGATGAGTCGGCGCCGACGACGGCCACGACGGCGCCGACTCGGTCAAATCGCTGCCGGCCCGCGCGGAGGTCACCGCTCGCGAGATGATGACAAAATATTTAGTGATTAGGTACACCTTTGAATTATCTGCGAGGATGCGATAGGCACTATATATTATATGTATATGTTAGGGTGGCACTTAAAAATCAATTTTTGATTTTTAATGCGTGCGGGTGGTTTTCCGGTTCCATTCCCGTAAAAAATAAGGGATGCAAATTTTTATTGAAAAAATATTGATATCTAGAGGTCGCGAATCAAGGTCAAAATTGAGATTTTGGTAGCATATTTCAATATCATTGAAATCGTTTCTGACTTTCCTATTACGCTGTAATCGGATGATAATAAGGCATTTCTTAGTAATTTTCATATTGTTTATTGATATTTCATGCAGCTTCGGTCACACCAAAACGCTCGTCTATGTACTCCACTACTCTAGTTCCTCCTCTTTAGTAGATTATTGGCGCCTCATTGGAGGGAGGGGTATCATGAGCAACGGGCACCCAGATCACGTGTGTAGCCTGGTTAGCAATTTGCAGTCGATCTTCGGGTGTCAGGTTAGCGTTTTCTGTGATTTTTTAAACGACATGGAGGAAGAACTGGCGCTAATCTTTGTCTTTCATGAGTGCCAGTCCTACATCAGCGCCATACCGCGCCTGGTGAAGTCATTCACCATCCGCAGCTCCCGGACTACACGAGCTGCGGTTTGGTAGCTGCTGTCCTCCCAGTGGCCTTGGTCATTGATTATTAGCCCCGCGTCCAGGTTGTAGATCCTTGAGAGCTTTTTGAACGATGGTGTGAGGAAGCTCGCCAACGTCTCGGTCGCGAGAGCGGCGTTCATAGTGTCCACTAAGGACTTATGGGGCGGGTCCTCGTCCTCCCTCTCCTACAAGTCTATTGCCCGCACCATGTCTTGATTGAGCCCGAGGGTCGGGGTCTAAGAGCTCCAGAGTCACCAGCCGATCGCTCAAGTACTACAGGTGACGGCCGAAGACCGGGACTGTCGCCTTCGACAGCTCCTTGTCGGGGTAGGTGCAGAACGAGTTCACGAAGGTCAGGTCCAGAGCCGGCGCAGTGGCAGTAGAGTCCCAAACCAGGCGGCGGCGGCGGCAGCAAACTTGCAGGCGACGGACAGCGCACAGCGTCTGATGACCTGGGCCTCGGCCGCCGTCAGCCGGAGCCGCTCCCTGAAGAGGAAGGCATCCACAGTGCGGATGGTCTTTGCCATCCACCTAACTCAGTGGAGTACTCTGAGGCGGAGAAACGGATGCCGTGCTTGGAACAACTCCACCGAGAGCAATTACGCAGTGCTCCAGAAGTTTTCGATAGGTAGTCTCCCCAGTTCCCGGAGCTAGGCATAGTCCAGCGATGGAAGCGATGGAAGCCGACCAGCAGCTCGTCCCTCTCCGGAAGGTCGTCGACGGCGAACGCCATCAGTGTGATCCTGTCAATGAAGTATGAACTCCCACCCGCCTTTGAACCTCTTAAACAGCCGGATGTAGAGGCCGCTCGAGATTCTAGGGCAGGTGGAGAAGGCCTTCTCTAGGACCAGTTCTTACACGTGGTGCCGGCAGGCCAGCTGGAGGACGGGCCGATCCAGCTTCTGCTCGATAAGGGCTAAAGTACCGTTCACCAGCATGCTGTTCGCCGTCGTGGCGTCGAAGCAAAAGGCCGCAGTTCCGCTTCTTCAGTTCTTGGTCCCCCAGCGCTGTGAGCATGGCCTCCTGTGCTTGGATGGAGGGGAGGTTGGGAACGGCGAGGAGCTTGGCCACCCCAATCCCTCCCCCCTCCCCATCACCAGTACCTAGAATCGGTCGACGCTCCTTCTCTCGCGATTCAGGATTCGCGGTTCAGCCGGAGTCGTATCCTAAGTTCCATGCCGCAGTTGATAACAGGCTCACGTGTTCTTCACACATTACGGTTGGGCAGTTTGGCCCGGTCGAGGCCAGTTCACTGTTGGGGACGTCCGCTCGCCCACATGCACTTGGGAGTGTGAGACGACGTTTCTCTCATGGTCGCCATCGTCAAAGACGTTCCCTCCGTGTGCGCGCCGCAGCGGCCAGGTAAGTCTGTTGCTGGCACTGGCACTAGAGTCGGAAGAAGCGCCCACGGAAGAACATCCCGAAAGCACAATAAACCAGTGCAGCTCAATGCACACTCTCGCCTCTGCTTTCGCCCGCCGGCGATAGACTGACTCCAACTTCTTAACATTCTCTTTGACAGAAAAGGAGCATGTCTCAAGGACCGATAGAACCGTAGGGCTCGTCCTCCCTTTGGAACAGGAGAGACCGGTCACTCCTCACACTATTCAGAGGATATGACCTCCACTGTGAGGAGGCACCGGTCGAAGGCCAAAACAGGCCTGACATGGGTAAAACAGCCCAGATCAGACCCGTCTTGGCCTGACCTGGACTGGCTACGATCGGCCGGAAGTGATGGGATAAACAATTGTTAAACAAATAAAGGTCAAAATACGTCGGAAATGACGCTTAATGACCACATATGTCATTCCAAAAAGGTTTAAAGTAGTTTCCAAAAAGTTGGATTTTTCCCCAAAAATGTTAACTTTGACCTCAATTCGCGACCCCTAAATATCAATATTTTTCAAAATCATTTTGCACACATTATTTTTTACGGGAATGGAACCAGAAAACTACCCGCACGCATAAAAATCGGATGACATAAAATTCACCCTATTGCTAAGTGCCACCCTAGTATATGTAGTATTTCATCAGTAACAAATGCAGTTTGGCCCTTGCCTTTGACAACTATGGCAAATGACCCTTCTCATTTTTTACCGTTAAATGATGTCATGAGGAAATCAGTTCGTGGCCATTATCATGATAAAATTTATTATTATCTGATTCAAAGTCATACAGGCTTGCCACGGGTTCAAGGGTTCAAGGTCATGTAAAGTTAAGAATGATATAAAGCCATTTTTATGTTTTCCGTGTTCATTTCAGTAGTCATTTTATCTGCCGTGAGCCACAATTAGGTATATGTATAGTATAGAATATCCCATCTGCACAGCATATCTCGTGTGGCATCCTGTTTGTACTTCAGAGTAACGTATCTAACTACTAGTTAATTAGTACTAGGTAACTGATACCTAAATGAGCACCGGAGCCCGGAGGCATGCCACCTCGATAAGTAAACAATCAGCACACAATTTCGTGCATCAGCGACTGCAGGTTATTTGATTTCAGGCAGAAAACTAACTCATTCCGTACATGCTGCGCTCAGAACAGGTGTTCGAAATGTCCTCCCGTTCCGGGCAACACAGTTCCGATAGACGCCGGCTGTGACATGCTTTGTTTACTGGCAAAGTCCTCGGCGAGGTTTTTTCGCATGCTACAACTGATCAGTCATTTTCAGAAGAGAGCAAAGGTAGTTATGGCAAAAACAATGCAGTTGTCTTTTATTACGTGCTATTTTATGACTTTTACATAGAGTTTTGGTGTGCCATTATGTCTAAAGGAAATTGAAATTAAACAAAAACTCATGTAAGCTTTTGCGTTTAATATTTTGTTCAAAGATGGCGTAAATATTGCCAATGTCACTCATTATTTCGTTAGACTCGCATTACGGAATAACAAAGTCAAATTACACTACATACATATACAATTTCTTAGCCTATTTCTCATGTTATGACTTTCGTTGTTAAAATTCATTTTCTTTCAATTTTGACCCTTTGACCTGGCCATGACCTGACTACTCGAGGGCAGCGCTTTTCGAGGAGCGCTGTGGCCCGAAGGTTTGGACTTTGAATTGTGAAAAACGCCCGCCCGCCGGAAAACGCAAACACCGCAAAACGCGCAAAACGCACGCCCGAAACGCCAACGCAAGCGTCGCAAAAAATAAACAAACGCCCGCCCGCCGCAAACCGCAAATAAAAAACGCAAAAACGCCGCAAAACAATAAAACCGCCCGCCAACCGCAAACAAATTTAACACCGCAAACGACGCAAAAAAAGAAGAAAACCGCCCGCATCGCCCGCCCGCCCGCCCGCCCGCCGCCAAAGACAAACACCGCAAAAAACACAAAACGCCCGCCCGCCGCAAAACGTAAACACCGCAAAACGTGTAAAACGCACGCCCGAAAAGCCAACGCAAACGGCAAAAAATCACCCGACCGCCGCAAACCACACAGAAAAAAAACGCCGAAACGCCGAAAAAAATAAAACCGCCCGCACCGCACCGACGCTAACTGCTAACCGAAAACGACTAAAAGTCGCCCGCCAGCCGCCAAACGCAAACACCGCAAATAAGCGCCCGGCCGCAGCAAGATAATAATTTATCAGCGGCTGGCATACCGCTAGGCTGGTCATTTTCACAAATCAAAAAGATATCTGCAAAAATCTCCTAGATGAAAGCGCCCGATTAAAAAACGGATGGCACGTGCGTGTTCCTCGCCCCCAACTTCCTTCAGGTCAATCGTCATTTGGGTCATCTAACGCATTGACGTATCTGCAAAAATCTCCTAGATGAAAGCGCCCGAGTAAAAACGGATGGCACGTGCGTGTTCCTCGCCCCCAACTTCCTTCAGGTCAATCGTCATTTGGGTCATCTAACGCATTGACGACCGGCTGGGTGGAATGAACATTGCGCCAAGAAACGTAAGTATATTGTCAAAAAGAATCCCCAGAGTGGTGGATCCCAAAAGTTTGAAACTACCACTTTGGCCCACTGGACGACACCTTAAACAGTTGCCGACCGGATGACACCCATTGTTTGGTCACCCACGCCATAGTATGCATCATGGGTGCGCCGAAATGACCAAAAGTCCCAATTTCCGGTGTGCAGGGTCATTTTCAACGGCACGTGGCACGTGGTTCTGGACTTTTCCGGCCACTTTGCGACATACCCATGGGTAGTGCACCGAATGGTGGTTGATCTGCATGTAAGAAAATGGGGGGTCGTTTGGATCGTTTTCGAGCAATCTGCCGTGGAACGCATTTTTTCATTTTCCCCATTGGCTTAACACGGGAATTTTTAAAGTCACGTGGCACGTGCACCAGATGGTCCGCGGAGGGGAGACCCATACCAGAACGTAGATCACCTGGCCCACTAGAAATCCTGAAAAAATCAGAATATTTGGACCAGCCGTTTTCAAGAGCATCAAGTTGTACTGATCTCAGGCAGCTTTTGCCAAATTGTCAGGGAACTCAGATTTGTTTTTCAATAGAAAAACACAATTCTAAAGAATAGTGTTTTAACTATTGACAACAAACCTTCGGTTACTACCGGTCGAAATTGGACCTGAACGACACATGGGTAGGTTCATACAATGCTGTCGAAAATTTTGTGGCCGAGCTGGACAAGAAATGTGTCCCTTGTGAAAACGTAGGTTACTACTAAATCATTATTCTCTTTTGACCTGGTGGCCATCTTCCACTTCAAGCAGTGCTAGATACGTGCTCGGCACATGCGTATAATATGCGCTCATTGTAACCTTATTTTTAGATACCTTCTCAGTTGTGACCCTTGACCTAAGTCCTAACCACGACCTTTGACGTGACCTTAAGAATTTTTTTTGAAGATCTTTGCATGTGTATCTGTGAAAACTTTCTAACGCTGTCTTGCGCGTTTCACAACGACATTTGGCGGCTTTGTCGATAACCGGGGAGAGGTGCTAACTACCCCGTCCTATTCAATCAACGGTGATTGTTGGTAAGCTCAGTCAAGTACGACTAATTAATTTCACTGTCTGCACTGTACCGTTTTGGAAAGCATTACCAAAACTGTTAATCTGTGGTAAAAATAATTACCTCGGGGACTCATTGGACGGTAACGAGTGCAGTTTGCCGCGCCGATTAATTGGCCGCTCCGATTGTGTATTGTGTTCTGTGTGTGTGGCGCCGCGCTCGACGGCCGCTCAGATGCAGCGCTGTGCGAGAGACGGTGCCCTGCCGCCGGTGGCCGGCACAGAACAATCGATCGGCCGCCTGTTTACCTGGAGCCATCTCCAGGCTACGGTGGCCGGCACCCGGGCGCTCGGTGCCCGCTCGCTGCTACTCGCCACGTAATTACACGGCAGGCGGGCGCGCCGCCGGCCGGAAGTCATGGCACACGGCCACGGCGCCGGTGGCAATCGATTCGGGGGTCGGGGCATGGTTACCGGTACCCGACTGTGCCCCGGTCATACACAGTGCATTAACAGGACAGCGCTGGCGACCAACTTCACACGTCACTTTGTTAGTCTGGCGGTGAGTAGGGAACGTTTTGTTGTTCTTCGTTGTGATGGCAATTTTATGTAACGCTGGTAATTATGGATATGATTTTGTTCAATCAGGATTGATTTCTAGATTAATCCCTGGAATAATTCGACTTACTGAGCCCTTTTCTTAAAATGATGTACAAGGATTACTTTTGAACTAATAAAATGCATTTTACCGACCTCCTACTGAGAAACTCAACAATGTTGCTAGAGTCAAGTCTCCGTTTCAAAACTCAGGAGTAGGAGGAGACTTCCAGGACCGCACGGTGGAGTGGTCGTGGCAATCACCGGCTGAGCAGCCGCGCCTGAGGTGCCCCTCCCCTTTCCTCCTCCCGCCCCCGCGGCGACCAGCGTCGGTGTCGTGTCGCCGCCGATAGGTCAGCCTCGCAGCCGGTATCAGTCACGCCACGGGCAGCTCTTATTGGACGCCCATCAACAGCGGAGACAGAGCCAGCTGTGCGGCCAAGATACTAATAAACACCGACTGAGCCGCCGCGCCGTACCACATCACGCGTCACTTCAAAGGCATCGAGAAACATCACATCACCTACATTGTGGAATGTGCTCTTACCGTTTCCGAGCCTCTTAACGCTTTCACATAAATTTTAGAAAGCTAACCGTTAAAGGACTTGCTCTTGTTTTCATTAATAATCTTCGAAACACTTCGCTTTGAGCGATACCCATTTTTCCAATGAGTTGAGGGCTGAGGCATTACTAGTCTGCTGTCTGGATGGCATCGAAGCATGGCAATTAGCACTTGATTTCAAATGTGTGACTGTGTGATGCTGCATAGGTATAAATTGTGTTGGTGCTTACTGCTTTCAATGTTATGTAGGTACTTATCAAAGCTGTGGTTTCTCAATTCAATCGATAGCACTGATAAAATTATTGTACCTAGGTACCTATTAGGAATGGGAAAGAATCGTGTCACAATGACCGCATGCTGTTTTAAATTTAGGTGCTTCTCTGTCACACTTACCTACGAGAAATTTACCTAATTACCGAATGATAAGCGAACTTTAGTTCCGTTGCGGCCTACACTCAATGTCATTGTTGTCATTGCTAATTCTTATCAGTTTTCATAACGATCGAATTTCATGGTCAGATTTAATGTATTCTCAATCATTCGGTTTCATTCATTCGGTTTGGATCAAAATATTTCAAACAGACGGACGGCATCGCCATGGGCTAGCAATTTTGTTCATGCATGCCTTAGAATCAATGTTCCTTGCCGCCCAGCGCCTCCAGCCCGTCCTGTACCTGCGGTACATAGACGACGTCTTTGGGGTCTGGACACATGGGAAAGAAGCCCTCGAAGAGTACTTCAACTTTCTGAACACCATTCACCCAACAATCAAGTTCACGATTGAGCATACCGCAGATACCGGTTCATTGGCTTTCCTTGACACCAAAATATCAATTTTGGAGTCTGGGTCTTACACAAGTGAACTTTTCGTAAAACCCATGTCATCACCAGTGATCGTTCACTTCCTCTCAGCGCTACCCCTTTCCACAAAGAAAAACACAGTACGGTCACAATTCTTACGGGCCATCAGGGTCTCCTCCCCGGGACTCCCTCGGGCGCGCAGTTTGAAAACAATCCAGGACCTATTCGTAAAAAATGGCTACCCTCCTCACTTAGTCAATCGGCTGAAAAACGAAGCAGTCCGAAGAGCATCAGCCTCTCTGACTCACGCCACTCAGCAACAACCCTCTCAAACCTTCATGACCCTCCCTTTCGTGGATGATGAACTCTGCCGAAAGACAGAAGGCATCATCAGGAGTAGTCATCTGAACATAAGGGTAGCGTGGAAGGGAGGTCCCAGCTTGAAGAAAAAACTGGTTAGGTCAGCCTACCTTCCTCCACCGTGTCCGGGGGCAGGTAGGCGGTGCAATGGGTGTGAGGCAGGCCTTAAAGGCAAATGTCACCAAAAAAATGTCATCTATCGAATGGACTGTAAGCTGTGCGACGAAAACGCATCATTTTATATCGGAGAAACTCGCCGGTCTGTCAGGCTCAGGTACAACGAGCACATCAGAGATGCTAGAAACAGAAAAGAAGACACTCCCTTTGGCTTCCATCAAACCAAACATCCAGATATTCAGCTGGGCAGCGACAACATCTCGATCCAAATTTTGCATGTCTCCAAAGACGGTCCAGACAGAAAGATTTGGGAATCAATATACATTCGTGATCTGAAACCTACCCTTAACACACAAACCTCATCGTGGTCTTTGATTCGGCGTGGTACCTGAGCCTGACAGACTGATCGACATCGATCAACTGTATGCAAGGTGTATGTCCTATTTGTATGTTGTATGTGTTTGTGTTTCTTTTTTTGCTGTATGTTTGTGTGATGAATGTATTTAAGGTGTTTTACTTCACAATATCTGGGCCTCCTATGTGTTCAAAAGAATCTGTTCAAAAGAATGATGCACGATACGATACGAGGTTTATTTGATGTTAACTTATACGATGTTTATTTGATACGATGTCGATCTACATGCATGTGTGTAACGAAATGTTCTTGCGCCGCCAACTGTTATATAATATGAAGGAAGTACTGGATGAAATAACTGCAGACAAAACTATCAGCCCGAATGCATATTTTCTCAAATGTTTGCGAATAAAACTCCAGAGCTGATGATGGCGCAATGCCGAAAGCTTCTCAAAAAGTTTGTTTTATTTCGAATCCGGAATTTACTTTTAGATAGAATGAGAGTGAGGTTAATTTTCTTACTATTTGTTACAATGTCTCTCAAGCTAGCGTTGAAACATATTCAAGACTATTCTCAATCATAGTCAAACGCCGTTTAGTTTAGTTATGTTGCCTCAATGTTGCCTAGCAGATGTGTTGTGACATCCATTCGATCCACTGGCTTCGATCAAACGAGAGTGGCTGGGTATTAAACGCGTTACCATAGCAACCATTCCAGAGCCCCATCGCTAGTTCCACACCTCCACACAACCAACGACACTCTTTGGTGCAGTGCCCACCGCGTGTTCAGGTGGCTGGTGGGGGCTCCAGTTGTTTTGATATTCTGGTAATATGTTCGTAAAAAAGTTCATTCTGTCGGCATTCAAAAAATTAGTTACATTTTTATCGTACTTACAATAGCTCGCTTCGTCGCGATGAACGTTTGATTATATATTCAAAGGTGCTCTAAAACGTGTGTTAAAACCAACAGCAACCGTCATTTTCTTTAGAACGTCATATCTACCCCGAAATAAGGGAACATTCCATGCATCATGTCGGCTAATGAGGTATGTTAAGTGTATTAGCCATTAGGCACCTTCATCATAGATTAAGCTGGAAAAATATTAGATTTTTCTGGTCCATGCCTTTTTAATTGATTGATGGTGATAAAAAGGGTATGGAGCGAGGATGTAGGTGCTTTGTGTTGTTAATTGTGCTAGATAGAAACATCCAGTTCCTTATAGTAGGCGTACCTTTAATTGCGTTTCGCATCACTGCATCGGTAACATGTAAAGCAATTGTTTGTGACTTGTGACTTGATTAATAACTAATTGCCTATTATAAAGCTGTGCCGTGCTGAAAAAAATTGCTTTTTGATGCCAGTAACATGTCCAAAAACAGCAGCCCTGTGCGTCTTACGCTTTACGTTTCAGAAATCCGACGAGCCAGGAGATAACGAAAACGAGGCTGATATTGAGCAGGAATCCGAACCACTCACGACCCAGCCACCTATTGACGACTCTCCAGCTGACGCTCCGAGTAGGGGAGAATCAGGCCGCGATCAAAGTCCACCTGAACAGCAAGACAACAATGATGAAGACCACTATTCCGGTGAAGAAGTCATGGATATCGACCTCAACTTTGAAGACATGGAGTTGGAGTTTCAGGGGGTATGTCTTCACAAATCGTAGAAAGGAGGTCTCATTCATTCATTCATTCATTCATTCATTCATTCATTCATTCATTCATTCATTCATTCATTCATTCATTCATTCATTCATTCATTCATTCATTCATTCATTCATTCATTCATTTATTCATGCATTCATTCATTGTTTCATTGTGGTGTAATCAAGCTCTTACGCAAGTCTGAAACGTTCATGGTTCACCAGAATGTAAGGATGCTACCTTTGGGTCGGTAGCGTAATGGCACTTTGTACGAATGCCTAGCCTGTCTCGGCAATTTATCATACGCTTCACTTTGCTACTTTGCTTTTCATTTGCTGCAGCTTTAAACACCACAATTTCTCGGCCCTTGCAGAGCTTTCTCAGCAAAGCTTTCCTATCGGTCACGTCTTTCACCATGCACTTTACACACGGCAGGTTCTGGAGGAGCTCTCGCAGGACCCGACGCTGGCGCGGTTCCGCATGGAGTACTCGAAGCTGCACGCGGCGCTGCAGCGGTCGCACCACAACGAGCGCCGTCTGATGGACAAGTGTCGCGAGCTGCAGGCAGAGATCGCCTCTCACTCGGCCGAGGTGGCCACCGCGCTCAAACTCGCCTCTGACGACAAACAGACCATCGACGCGCTCAAAAAGGTCGGTGATAACGCAGTACGCACCTCATATTTAAAGCCCTTGGATATATGCGACAGATAAACAAAGCATAAATTTCCTGTTATGATAAAAATGATATATTGACGAAATAATTACACCTACTTATTTAGATATCCTTTTCCGATTTAGACACTATCTAGCAGGTGTGTTTAAGTTTTAAACTGTCATTTAACCGGTTACATTAAAATGAAATCACAATAAAGCACTCATACAGAAATGTTTTCATTGAACAGGAAGTAGAAAAGGCGTGGAAGATGGTGGACCTGGCCCACGAACGGGAACAAGAGGCCAAAGAAACGATGGAGGCTCTGCAGAACGAGATCACCCGACTGCACGAGCTATCCGGCCAGGGCGAGGCGCTAATGGCCGGCAGACAGGACGCGTAAGGCTCGCTCGCATCGGTCGCCGCGCCGCGACACATAGAGATGAATCTGTATTACTAGATTACTGGGATATCAAAACTGTGTGTATGTAGCTTGTCGTCAACAATATCTCAATCAGCAGTATCATCCCATGACTTCGTCCATATTTATTCACGGTGCGTGAGCAGTATATCACATTTGTACATATGTGTGTGCTGTGTCCATTCAGTGTGTCTGAGCTGTCGGGAGCTCGCGATGAGCTGCAGAAGGAGCGGGACGGCCTGCTGCACGACGTGGCTCAGATGCGCTCACAACTGGAGACGGTCAACGCCAAACAGGATGCCGTGGAGGCTCAGAGGCTGGAGCTGGAAACCAAACTAGAGTCCGCCAACGCCGAACTGCAGGCAAGTTACAGCTTACACCCGTCTCGTTTGAAGGGAGCATGTTTTATAAAGCAGACCTTTCACGTCGTTATGCAATTTGCATTTTTATACTTTCATTCGGATTTTCTGGTTTTATAGCTATGTCAAGCTTACCGCTTTTTGTACGTTGCAATATCCTTATACATGACTAAGCAACAGACCCATGAGCTAAAACATGAGCCAAAATGTGATATCCGTAACTGTGAACTTTGAATTTGTTTTAGGTTCATCGTGGTGACATGCAGCGAGAAATTCGTCGCAAGGAGCGAGCCGAGCGAGACCTTCGGGCTGCCCGGGCCGAAATTGACGCCAAAGAGGGAGAAATCAGGTCAGATGCTCCACTCTTCAGCAGTATAATACGCTCTACAATGCGATGTGTCTTCAGCATTTTGTTGGTGTAAATGGACGGAAGACAGTGTCTCGTTTCAATATTGCAGAATTTAAACATTCGAGCCTTCTATTCACACTATTATCATCATTCCATTCGTAGTCTACATATTTTTCATCTCGCTATTTCCCAGTAAAACCCGTTTTCAGACAGCAATAACGATTAAATGCATACCTTTTAAAACTGCGAAAGTTGATAACCTTTTTGCTGTGATCAATATTCGCAATTCGCAATAGGCAATTACTGAATAGGCTAGCGGCTTTTAGTGGAAATGAACTATTGGACACCTTTTAATGTTTTCAGAGTACTCAAAGGCCAACTTCAACAGTACGAGGAACAGTTCGGTAAATCGGAAGCTGCGCTCAAAGATCAAAAGGTACCTTAGTGCAGAGCTTGTTTGTTGACGGAATTATGTGATGGATTCCAGGCATTTAGTGTATAGTTAGGTGGATTTTGTTTGTTCTTCAAATTATATAAATTCCAGTCATATGGAGTATTTATTTATGGCTGTTCGCAGCATCACATGCCTTAGGAGACGTCAGACTCAGACTATTAAAAAACTGCTTTGCATGCATTGATCGGGGTTTGCCTATAACGTATGTGAATTTGACTGGATCTTGTTAAAATTGTTTTTTTTTTGTCCACGGATTACTTCAGGCCAATCTCGAGAAGACAACGAAAGAGCTGGAGGCGATGACCCAAAGGGCGCAAAAGCTACGGCACGATTATGAAATACAACTGATGACAGCTGATCAACTTGCGCAAGAAAACCAGCACAAAGTCACCGAACTTAAGGTTAGCACTTAACCCGCGCCCCGTAGGGCTACCGGCGGACCCTACCACCCGTAGGGGGGGGGGGGCGTTTCGGCCCCCCCCCCTAAGATCTCGGAAAGTTACCGGCCGATTTTCAAAATTCAAACGGCGTTCGATAGCCCCGCCCGGGAACTACCTTGTGACCAAATTTCATTGACCTAGGTCAAACCGATGACGTCACAGGTCAGGTCAAAGGTCAGATTTTCACCGTTCACAGGCAATTCAAGAAATGTGCTGTGAAAGCGAGTAAATTGGTAATTTATTGAAAACTATCGATGGTACATTGTTCGTCAAACACATACTTTGCTATCTGAGGTCACTGATACCAGGTCAGGTCACAGCGAGGTCAGGTCACCGGGGGTCACAATATGAGTGTGTCGTGTGATACATGTTTTATGGTCCATTTTACATGACAAATGCGATTATGTGGGTTAGGCAGCCTTTGGGGCCAGCCTAGGTCACGTTTTGGTGAAGGTCAGGTCAAGGTCAGGTCAAATTAGGTCAAATTTCAAAGTTGATATTTTGCATAAAATGGGTATCGATTCGATGCAGCTCGTCACGGGGAGTCTAATGGTGGTCTTCGTTTTGCTCTACGAGTTTTAGAATTGCCAAAAATTGAGTTTGAAAATTTGACGTCATCATTTTTGAACAGTTTTTTGGCTATAACTTGGCCAAAAAACGAGGTATTGATCTGAAATTTGGTATGTAGATAGAAGACGGTAGGCACTATCACATATATTCCGGTTTTTTTCGAAACTCAAAAAACTTTTTGGATTTTTTGGCGAATATTTCCAAACAAATGCTTTTTTGATTTTTGGGGGTCAAAACTCAAAAATTTCAAAAATCCGAGATAGCAGTTTTGTAGCCCTGTCAATTCTACACCTTTTATGTCTTGATCATTTTTCTGTATCTTCAAAGCTGTAGTCCTGACAGGTCTTCTCGCGAAGGTCTTTTTTCGGTCGAAAATGACAGAACATGACGTCACTCTGACGTCATTTGTGGCCAACCTATCATAGCCTCTGGAAAAATTTTTGGTCACAATGTGTAAAATTGATGCCCGGAGGGGTCCTGAAAGTTTGGTGGCGATATCTCCAGCCGTTTAGGAGATATCGACCGAAAAGGACAGGGGGGGCCGTTTCGCCCCCCCCCCCCTACGGGGCGCGGGTTAAGTCATCGAGCTAGAGAAGGCATTTTAAAGGTGGCATTTTTTTGCTAAATATCTTCGTAAAATATGAAATGATCGATATTATAGGTGCTTCGTTGGGTGGTAATTAAAATGACTTTGGGTCTGTTTTTGTCACGGAAAGCCTTTTACAGGATCTGGTAGATAGGTGGGTATAAGGTCTTGCCTTGTTATAGAAGAGGCCCTCCCCACTATTCTTACCATTTACCAGCTTTGCGGGTAAACTTTGAGTAAGTAGGTATGTCGCAACTGACAGGTTTCCAGATACTTAATCATTTACAAGTTTAATTGTTCATTGTTCATGCCTACGATCTAGATCAGGAAATACTTTTTAGAATGCCTTGCTCCCCACACCTGTCATTAACATACCCAGAGCTGACGCGGCGGCCCGCTGACTATGCGCCGCGGTGCCGCAGGGCCGGGAGGAGGAGATGGCAGCGCTGCGCCAGGAGGTGGCCCGGCTGGGAAAGCTGCGCGACAGTCTGACCCGGCGACTGCGCGCCGCCGAGGAGCAGCGCTCCGGTCTACAGGCCGAGATGGAGGCCTCGACGGCCACCAAACACCGGCTGGCGCGCGACCTCGAGCAGGGCCAGCGACAGGCGGACGCCGACAAAAAGACAATGGACGAGCTCAGATACGAGCGCGAGCTGCTCAAGAAGGGAATGCTAAAAGTTCAAGGTAAAGTTATTCAGCTCTCATTTACCGATAAGTTGTGTTGTTGATTTTGTTGGATAAAATGGCACAATAGATGCCCACGAGAATGTTGCGTATTCGAAGAAGCTAACTGTTTCTTCTGGTTCGACCGTTCATTATGAGATATCAAACAACATTGTTCCAGGGTTTCACTGGAATAACGTCAGTCTCTAGATGACTGACTTGTACTGGTCTTAGTTTATGTCCATCAAGTTAGCGTCGTATTCGTATTCGTTTTCAGCGTCGAGTTCCAAACATCGCCAAACTATGCCAAACGATAGATCTTGACACGCTGATTCCAAAAATATCACTCATTTTTTCCTAGGTCAAATATTTTGACCTCTAGGGGCAAAAAACCACTCTGGCTATAAACAACCATAAGGTACTTCTTTATTTACCGTCCGATCGGGCTAAAACTTACACAAAACATGTGCCGCCACACAAGGATGCGTCACAATCAACAAAATCGCCGATCGAGGTCAAAGGTCAAGGTCATATTTGCGAAAAACCGTTATTTTTCGACGGGGTACACTCGGGGGCAGATTGATGTTCCACCCCTTCCAACTCATCGGGCTCCCATGGCTCAGCACTGGCTGCTGCCAGTGTTGCCTGCCCTCAGCACTGCTCAGCACTGCCTGCCAGTGCCAGTGCTGACAGTGCTGCCACTGGCAGCAGCCAGTGCTGAGCCATGGGAGCCCGATGGGTAGGGAGTGGTGGAACATCAATCTGCCCCCGAGTGTACCAAATAAAAACTTTATTTACCGTCTGATCGGGCTGAAACTTACACAAAACATGTGCCGCCACACAAGGATGCGTCACAATCAACAAAATCGCCGATCGAGGTCAAAGGTCAAGGTCATATTTGCGAAAAACCGTTATTTTTCGACGGGGTACCAAATAAAAACTTTATTTACCGTTCGATCGGGCTGAAACTTACACAAAACATGTGCCGCCACACAAGGATGCGTCACAATCAACAAAATCGCCGATCGAGGTCAAAGGTCAAGGTCATATTTGCGAAAAACCGTTATTTTTCGACGGGGTACCAAATAAAAACTTTATTTGCCGTCCGATCGGGCTGAAACTTACACAAAACATGTGCCGCCACACAAGGATGCGTCACAATCAACAAAATCGCCGATCGAGGTCAAAGGTCAAGGTCATATTTGCGAAAAACCGTTATTTTTCGACGGGGTACTAAATAAAAACTTTATTTACCGTCCGATCGGGCTGAAACTTACACAAAACATGTGCCGCCACACAAGGATGCGTCACAATCAACAAAATCGCCGATCGAGGTCAAAGGTCAAGGTCATATTTGCGAAAAACCGTTATTTTTCGACGGGGTACCAAATAAAAACTTTATTTACCGTCCGATCGGGCTGAAACTTACACAAAACATGTGCCGCCACACAAGGATGCGTCACAATCAACAAAATCGCCGATCGAGGTCAAAGGTCAAGGTCATATTTGCGAAAAACCGTTATTTTTCGACGGGGTACCAAATAAAAACTTTATTTACCGTCCGATCGGGCTGAAACTTACACAAAACATGTGCCGCCACACAAGGATGCGTCACAATCAACAAAATCGCCGATCGAGGTCAAAGGTCAAGGTCATATTTGCGAAAAACCGTTATTTTTCGACGGGGTACCAAATAAAAACTTTATTTACCGTCCGATCGGGCTGAAACTTACACAAAACATGTGCCGCCACACAAGGATGCGTCACAATCAACAAAATCGCCGATCGAGGTCAAAGGTCAAGGTCATATTTGCGAAAAACCGTTATTTTTCGACGGGGTACCAAATAAAAACTTTATTTGCCGTCCGATCGGGCTGAAACTTACACAAAACATGTGCCGCCACACAAGGATGCGTCACAATCAACAAAATCGCCGATCGAGGTCAAAGGTCAAGGTCATATTTGCGAAAAACCGTTATTTTTCGACGGGGTACCAAATAAAAACTTTATTTACCGTCCGATCGGGCTGAAACTTACACAAAACATGTGCCGCCACACAAAGATGCGTCACAATCAACAAAATCGCCGATCGAGGTCAAAGGTCAAGGTCATATTTGCGAAAAACCGTTATTTTTCGACGGGGTACCAAATAAAAACTTTATTTGCCGTCCGATCGGGCTGAAACTTACACAAAACATGTGCCGCCACACAAGGATGCGTCACAATTGTGGCGTGATGCTAATCTGTATTTTTCGCTCACTATCACACACAACACAAATAACACAGAACGTGACATATTCACGTGACACTTATCCGGCTGCCTACATCTAAGCAGCCGGCACATCCTCCGTTTTTCATTTCTGATGTGACCTACTCCTCAGCATATACGGTGACCGAGATCTCTGGTTCCCAGTGATCTGAGGTTCCGGTCCTCTCCGGGAAACCTGAGGTGGTGCTGCTGCCTCTTGGCGTGGTGGCACTCTTAGGTACAAGCTTCCGTCGCTGGTTTCTCTTCTCTTTGTCGAGTCCGTTGTGTCCTGACAGGGGCTGTACTTCCGCAGATGACGTCGATTTCTTCGGTACACTCGTCCATCCTCTGTTTTGACTGCATAAGATCGGTTGCTGTCTCGACTTACAACTACGGCGGGTCTCCATTTTTTCTGGCCGGGTCTCGGTGCCATCAGCACCGGCGTGCTGGTCTGCATGGGAGGGAGATCTTTTGCAGTTCTGTTATAATATTTCTGCTGCTTTTCTTTTCTTTCCTGAAGGCGCCTTTCTGCACCAAGCGGTACTTCGGGATTGAGCAGTTTTCCATGGATGGGTAGCATAGTTCGAGTACGCCGTCCCATGAGTCGTTGCGCCGGGGAACTGCCGACATTTTCTGACGGTAGGTTTCGCATTTCTAGTAATGCTAGATATGGATCTGATTTTGTCTCGCATGTTCTTGCCATCATTCTCTTCATTTGCTTCACCGCGTTTTCAGCCTTTCCGTTAGACTGTGGATATCCGGGAGAACTCGTCGTGTGTTTGAATTCGTACATCTCAGCGAACTCCCTGAAATCCCTTGAGTTGAAGGGAGGGCCATTGTCGCTGACGAGCTCCATTGGAATACCATAGCGTGCCATATGTCCTTTTAGCAGTCTGATGATTTCTTTCGTGGTCTTGTTGTGCACTCTGTCGCATTCTATGAAGTCGGAATAGTAATCTACAGTGACTAGATATGACCAGCCTGCAAACTCCATGAGGTCACAGCCGATCCTCTCCCATGGTCTTGCTGGTACTTTGTAGGATATGAGTGTCTCTTTCTGTTGGGCTGGCTGATAAGCCGCACATGCTGTACATTTGGAGACATAGTCTTTTATGTCTTCGTTCATGTTTGGCCAGTACAGGGCTTCTCTTGCTCTACGCATGCACGTTTGCACTCCAGCATGCGACAAGTGCACGCGTTCCAGCATGTAGCGCCTTGCGCTGACAGGTACGAAAATTCGATCACCTTTAAATATTACTCCCTTGTTGACAGATAACGTGCTCCTGAGATCGAAATACCTGCGTGCTTCCATCGGTACATCACTTTTATGTTTTGGCCATCCTTTGCTGATGAGTTCTGCGAGTGTGCATGCTTCCATGTCGTTTTCTGACTCTGTTCTCAGGAAAATAGCCGTTTTGTCAGATATCGGCAGGTAGTCTTCTATCTCCAGTTGTTCTATGTTAGCTTCTTCTTGGCATCTTCCAAGTGAAGCATAGTATATTTCATCCAGATGTTCCATGTTCGTATCCGGGAGCTGAGCTCTGCTAAGTGTATCGGCTAGATGCATGTCAACTCCCCTTTTGTACTCTATATGGAAGTCGAATTTCTGCACCGCTAGCAACAGAACTGCAAAAGATCTCCCTCCCATGCAGACCAGCACGCCGGTGCTGACGGTGAGCAGCGGCACCAGCACCACCTCAGGTTTCCCGGAGAGGACCGGAACCTCAGATCACTGGGAACCAGAGATCTCGGTCACCGTATATGCTGAGGAGTAGGTCACATCAGAAATGAAAAACGGAGGATGTGCCGGCTGCTTAGATGTAGGCAGCCGGATAAGTGTCACGTGAATATGTCACGTTCTGTGTTATTTGTGTTGTGTTGTATGCAAACTGACGGTGACGAACCCCATGACGATGAAGGAGTATCAGGTGGAATTCTTTGTAGTACCACAAGACTATACTCCATTATTAGGGGTCAGTGCTGTACAGGACTTGGAACTCATCAATGTCAACCACGCCAACATCATGACCGTGCATCAAGCCAATAACGTGACCACGGGAGGAGCCGCCGGAGAAAAAGAGGCACTCGTCGCCGAATACAAGGATGTTTTCACCGGGACAGGCCGATTCCGAGAGAAACTGAAGCTTGAAGTAGTTCCAGAGGCTAAACAGCATCAGGCGGCGACGAGGTCAGTTCCAGTGGCACTGGAAGACAGCCTCAAACAGGAGCTGGATCGTCTTACCAGTGAAGGCATCATCACACCTGTGGAAGTGCCCACTGACTGGGTGTCTGCCTTAGTCGTAGTGAAGAAGCCGAATGGCAGCCTTCGACTCTGCTTGGATCCCAAACCGCTGAACAAAGAGCTGAAAAGAAACAAGTATCCGATTCCGACAGTTGATGACCTGACGTGCCGACTGGAGAAGGCAAAGGTGTTCACTGTTTGCGACGCAAAAAACGGATATTGGCACGTCGAACTCGAAGAAGAAAGTAGCTTCTTGACTACATTTGGAACACCCTGGGGACGGTATAGATGGAACCGCCTACCATTTGGTATAGCCGTGGCATCAGAAGAATTTCAAAGAAGGCTAAACCAAGAGCTAGAAGGTCTAGATGGCATAAAGGCTATTGCCGACGACATTCTGATCTACGGGGAAGGCGACACATACGAAGAGGCTGTCACAGATCATGACAGGAAACTGAAAGCTCTACTAGAAAGATGTAGAGAAAGAGGTATAAGATTGAACATGAACAAGATGAAGCTGAAACAAAAACA